AGGTGAGAACGAGGATCTTGAACTCGATCCACTGGGGGATGGGAAGCCAGTGAAAACATGGGCAAATGACCTACTTCTGTAACCTCCAGAGATAATCTAAGCACTTTATTTAAATTTCCTTCCCGTTAGTGAGCAGAGGAATCAATTAGTGGGTTAGAAATTCCAAGCAAGTCTAGATTTGCTCGATTTTCTTAGCATTTCAGAACGTGCAGAATTTAACCGATTCTTAAATACAGTCTTCATTTTTTTTCTCTCTCAGGGTCTTTTAAGAGCTCAGCGGGCAGCACAAAGGAGCTCAGAAACTGTAAACACTCAAACCTCGATCTCAGACAAGACTGAACAAGACGTTGGTAAGAAAAACACGACTCACACAATGACAATGACCGTAGTTCATTCACAATATTCCAAAAGTGAATAAACGTACCAGTGCTCCCTTTAGCTCACGCAGGATACATTAATAATAATAATAATCCTTGCATTCGATATAGTGCCATATCACATTGTTGAGACATCTTAAAGCACTTCACGGAATATACCGTAAAGTGCATTGACTGTATATTTTGTAGGTGAAACACGGCAGCCAATTGTGCACTGCAGTATCTCATAAACAGTTGTGGATTGAGTGACCAAATTTTATTTGGTCGATTTGTTGACCAGGTGAGGAGAGGGAAAGAGAGATCATCGCCTAGGTCAGCAGGATTCCCGATGCAGCCCCACGTCCCATCTGAAATACCCACTGCATGATGTAGAAAACAGATTTTTCTAAGGTCGATATTTGCAACAGAACTTTAAATATTGTTCTTGAGAGAAAAAGAATCAATGTAGCAAAACAAAAACGATGAATGGCTGGGATAAGATCACAACAACTACAGCCCATTTGTGATTTTTGAATCTAAAGCAATATTTTCTCAGCTTTGAAAATGAAATTCATGAAGGAAAACAAAGCACCATCTCAGCCAGGCAGAAAAGATTGACATTTCACGGATCACAACCTTCTCTTTAATTCACATTTTATCCATCCCGTCCAGCTGGTAACTCACAACAACAGCAAGGTAAAAACACAGGAGCATGTAATGTGCTGCACAATACACGTCCTTGTCTTTTACCTTGTTGTTGTTAGTGGGTAAATGGTAAATGGAAACACAATGAGGTAATTTTGATAAAATGAAGTCAGTTACAATAAACTTGGTATCAATAATAATCATAATCGTTGCATTTGATTTAGCGCCAAATCCCATCGTTGAGACGTCTCACAGAATATATTATAAAGTGGATTGACTGTGTATTTTGTGGGCGAAACGCAGCAGCCAATTGCGCACAGCAGTGTCCCACATAGAGTGGATTGAGTGATCAAATTATATTTTTTGAGGGATTATTACCCCCGAAAGCGAACCGCCAATCGATTAATAAACAGGTTCCTACTTAATGCTACGTAATCAGAGACATGTGGAGTATGGAAACTTGCCTAAGATTTCGCCCCAATCGGGACTCTGTAAAACATTACGTTACTAAAAGTAAATCTAGTTCCAGGTGGAATTTTATTCCCAGCAGTTAGCTGCTGAAATGAACACGAAGATGAAAGAGTAACAGTATATACGGGGCATCCTGCCAACAATGTAAAATAATCCTTGCCTTTGGTATAGCGCCTTTCACGTCGGGAGGACGTCTCAAAGCTCTTCACAAGATCTGCTGTGAAGTGCAGTCACTGTGTGTTTTGGAGGCAAATTTCCTTTTTTTAAAAAAATGAGAAAGTGCACTTCAAAAGAAAAATACTGCACTTTTCAGTCAACCAGCTCAACCACTAAAAGAAAAGCTAGAGTTATTTATGAATGCGAACAGAAACCTAAGGTTAAATTACTGCTTTAAACAGACTATCTGCTGTTGCTATTTCTCATAAGACATAGCTCTATTTTAAGTGATACTGTACATGTTTTTCAACCCCTTCACCGTTATTTGCCACTGTTACGCCTACCCTCCCTGACTCAATCCCTCCGCCTCTCCCGCTCTTTGCCTGTCTTCAGGTCACGTCTGGAAACCTTCCGCTCTGACAGTACTTGGCTACCTCACCCACCCACCCACCCTCCACCCCAGCTCAGTGTCAAGTTCCGCCACTGTTGAACAATCCGAGATGCTACGGTGCGTGAAGGGCACTACCCCACGTGAAGGGCGCTAGCTATATAAATCCAAGTTGTTGTTGTTGTCGAACCTTACACTGATCTTGGGAGCTGGAATACATGACATTCCGGATAAAATCCAAGATTTGGCCACGTATTCTCATGGCTTCTAGTTTCATCATGAGGGCGTCGTGAAGCACTAGGTCGAACGCCTTGCGGACGTTGATGAACACAACGTAGGTGGGTTTAGCCTGAGGAAGTTCTGCGATTCCATACAGAGCTACAACATGTCCCACACATTCCTTAGGAGAACAGAAGCCAGCCCGCTCCTGCATGATCAAGCGCGCGCGATACGTGCGCAGTACAGCAATCTTTCTTCAAGGACAGCAAGGTCCCAATGCAGGTCAAGCTTGCAAGGTACAAAACCTGTGTGCAAATATAGATCCGAGCTCCTGGGGATGCAATGGATAGGCTTTTTCTCTCTACACCACCACCACCCCACCCCGCACACACACACACACACACTAACAACCACACACACACACACACACACACTCAATATCTATGACAGGTATTTTTAATTTAGGCCGTACTAGTGGGGAAGAGCGATGCTTCCACACATTTCCATTGAATCACAGGGACGATATCCTCTTTGTGTTTGTTCAGCAAAGTGAAACACGTTGCTTTACGATGAGGATCTTCGAACACCATCTGTGATCGTTCGCTTTAACTCACCCCAAACCCTCTCCTCAAAACACACACACAACACAACACAACACATACACAGCAGCTACGTTTCTGGAGCTTTGATCCCTGTGGCTCCTTTGGGATGACTTGGGTTTGAATGTAAGTGGGAGTGGAGAGGGCAGGGCAGGGGGTGAGGGCTGCACTTTGCTATTTTCTACAAAGACTGACTGGAGCAAAAAGCGATCATTCGTTAAACATGAGCTACAAAACACACCCACACACACACACATATATACACACACACACACACAAGAGGATCGCAAAGGTACAATCGCTGCTCTCTCGCTGTCAGCGATTCTCCTTCACCTCCGAACAGTACAAATAAATGAGTAGCAAAACGGCACAAAGGAATATTCATATCCTGTTATAAGGGATATGCATAGCCTGTTATAAGGGATATGCATAGCCTGTTATAAGGGATATGCAGAGCCTGTTATAAGGGATATGCATAGCCTGTTATAAGGGATATGCATAGCCTGTTATAAGGGATATGCATAGCCTGTTATAAGGGATATGCATAGCCTGTTATAAGGGATATGCAGAGCCTGTTATAAGGGATACAACAACAACACATTGTATTTAGAGAGCCTTCCCTGTCGGGAGTAAGCCGTGTTATAGGGGATGTCCACCGTCTGTTGTGTAGGGGACGGTCACAGCCGGTCATTCGGGATACTTACAAGTGTGCAGTCACAGCCCTGTTATAGAGGACATTCACAACCTGTTATAGGGAACGTTCACAGTGTTATAGGAGATATGGACTGCCTGTCATAGGGGATATTGACAACCTGTTATAGGGGATAATCGCAGCTTGTTATAGGGGAACATTGACAGCAGGTTCTATGGGAACTGACAGTGTTACAGGAGATACGGCACAGCCTGTTATAGGGGACCAGTGACAGCCTGTTATAGGGGATCACTGACAGCCTGTTATAGGGGATCACTGACAGCCTGTTATAGGGGATCACTGACAGTCTGTTATAGGGGATCACTGACAGCCTGTTATAGGGGATCACTGACAGTCTGTTATAGGGGATCACTGACAGCCTGTTATAGGGGATCACTGACAGCCTGTTATAGGGGATCACTGACAGCCTGTTATAGGGGATCACTGACAGCCTGTTATAGGGGACCAGTGACAGTCTGTTATAGGGGATCACTGACAGTCTGTTATAGGGGACCAGTGACAGCCTGTTATAGGGGACCAGTGACAGTCTGTTATAGGGGATCACTGACAGTCTGTTATAGGGGATCACTGACAGCCTGTTATAGGGGATCACTGACAGCCTGTTATAGGGGACCAGTGACAGCCTGTTATAGGGGATCACTGACAGTCTGTTATAGGGGATCACTGACAGTCTGTTATAGGGGATCACTGACAGTCTGTTATAGGGGACCAGTGACAGTCTGTTATAGGGGAGCAGTGACAGTCTGTTATAGGGGACCAGTGACAGTCTGTTATAGGGGATCACTGACAGTGTTATAGGGGAGCAGTGACAGTGTTATAGGGGACCAGTGACAGCCTGTTATAGGGGACCAGTGACAGTCTGTTATAGGGGACCAGTGACAGTGTTATAGGGGACCAGTGACAGTGTTATAGGGGACCAGTGACAGTGTTATAGGGGACCAGTGACAGTGTTATAGGGGACCAGTGACAGTGTTATAGGGGAGCAGTGACAGTGTTATAGGGGACCAGTGACAGCCTGTTATAGGGGACCAGTGACAGTCTGTTATAGGGGACCAGTGACAGTGTTATAGGGGACCAGTGACAGTGTTATAGGGGACCAGTGACAGTGTTATAGGGGACCAGTGACAGTGTTATAGGGGACCAGTGACAGTGTTATAGGGGAGCAGTGACAGTGTTATAGGGACCAGTGACAGTGTTATAGGGGAGCAGTGACAGTGTTATAGGGGAGCAGTGACAGTGTTATAGGGGAGCAGTGACAGTGTTATAGGGGAGCAGTGACAGTGTTATAGGGGACCAGTGACAGTGTTATAGGGGAGCAGTGACAGTGTTATAGGGGACCAGTGACAGTGTTATAGGGGAGCAGTGACAGTGTTATAGGGGAGCAGTGACAGTGTTATAGGGGAGCAGTGACAGTGTTATAGGGGAGCAGTGACAGTGTTATAGGGGAGCTTTACCTGTCCGGTGGTGTCGGCGGTGGCGTTGCTCGGGCGCTGCCCCTCGGGTCGGGCGGCGCTGCCCCTGTGGAGGGTGATGTGGAGGGTGAGGAGGAGGAGGAGGAGGAGGAGCAGCAGCTCGGCGGCGAGACGCGCCATCTTCCGGACCCGCCGCCGCCTCGGGGGGAGGAGGAGCCGCGGACACCGCGCGCCGCCGCCGCCGCTCTCACTCTCACTCCCGCCCGGCGGCGGGGCGGGGGCGGGGGGGGAGGCGGGGCCGCGGTCGGGCTCGGCCGGGCCGGAGGGGGCGGGAGGCGGCGGCCGCGTCTCCACTTCGCAGACGAGCCGCAAAATCGCAGCCGGGAAACAGCGCGCGGTCGGTGCGGAGCGCGGAGTCAGAGACCGTCGGAGCAGCCGCGCAGTCACTATCCGCGGAGCCCTCAGGTCCAACTCCAGCATCAGCGCCCACCGCTCCTCCCGTCCTCTCCTCCTCCCTCCTCTCCTCCTCCTCTCCTCCTGTCCTCCTCTCCTCCTCTCCTCCTGTCCTTCTTCCTTTCCTTCTTTTTTCCTTCTTTCTTCCTTTTCTTTCCTTCTTTCTTCCTTTACTTTCCTTCTTTCTTTCTTTCCTTCTTCCTTTCCTTCTTTTTTCCTTCTTTTCTTTCCTTCTTTCTTCCTTTTCTTTCCTTCTTTCTTCCTTCTTTTCTTTCCTTCTTTCTTCCTTTTCTTTCCTTCTTTCTTTCCTTCTTTCTTTCCTTCTTTCTTTCCTTCTTTCTTCCTTTACTTTCCTTCTTTCTTTCCTTCTTTCTTTCTTCCTTCCTTCCTTCCTTCCTTTCCCTTCCTTCCTTCCTTTCCCTTCCTTCCTCCCTTTCCTTCTTTCTTTCCTTTCCTTTCCTTCCTTTCTTTCCTTCCTTTCCTTCCTCCCTTTCCTTCTTTCTTTCCTTTCCTTCCTTTCTTTCCTTCCTTTCCTTCCTCCCTTTCCTGCCTTCTTTCCTTCTTCCTTTCCTTCTTCCTCCCTTCCTTTCCTTTCCTTCTTCTCTTTCTTTACTTTTCTTTTCTTTCTCTCCTTCCTTCCTTCCTTCCTTCCTCCCTTCCTTCCCTCCTTTTCCCCTCCTCCGGGGGGGGATTCAAGCCTTCGGGGCTCTCAAGTCACATCAAACAATTCCGCACTCACTGGATTTGCGAAATAATATAAATTTAGAGATAGATTTTTTTTTGCAAATTGATTTAAAAGGCAAAAGAAAAAAAATCCCTCTCTTTCTTTTCGTTCCTTCCTCAGTTTCTTTCTCTTCTTCTCTCTCTCTCTCTCTCTCTGGACAGTCAAAAAAATATAACTGTAATTTTTTTAAAAAAATTTCGTTCCTTTCTCAGTTTTCCTCTCTCGTTTTTTTTCCCCCTTCTCTCTCTCTCTCTTTCTCTCTCTCTCTCTCTTTCTCTCTCTCTCTCTCTCTCTCTCGGTGGGGTGCAGTTTTTTTTAAAAAAAGAAAAAAATATAAATATGAAGGAAAAAAAAATAGCAATTTTTTTCTTTTTTTCCTAAAAAAAAGTCTCTTTTTTTCTCTGGGTTTTTTTTTCTCTCTCTCTCGTCTCTTTTTTTTCTCGGTGCTGGAAGGACAATTGCAGAAAAAAAATAAAAAATAAGAAACAAAATCCTCTCTCTCTCTGTCTCTCTCTGTGTCTCTGTCTCTCTCTGTCTCTCTCTGTGTCTCTGTCTCTCTCTGTGTCTCTGTCTCTCCCTCTCTCTCTCTCTCTCTCTGTTGTCTTCCCTCTGTGGCTGTGGCTCTGTGTTGCACCGTTTAAAAAGAAAGTTGCACTTCAGGGTCTGCACAGAGCTGCGGCTGGAAACGCACTGCTGCTGTCTGCAGCCATACACCCTCTACCCATTGCTTTTGGGGTGTGCTTTTCCTTTAACCCCTTCCCCCTCCCCTCCCTCCCTTCCTCCCTCCCTCCCTCCTTCCTTCCTTCCCTCCTTCCCTCTCTCTCTCTCTCCCAGGACGATCTATCTCATCCCTCTCACCCCCTCCTCACCTCCTCACCCCCCTCTCCCAACCAAATGACTGCAAGTGTTGGGCTGGGATCTGACAGGCAATCCTGGCAGGTTGGGCTTTCTCTCTCTTCTTATTCACTCTTATTCCCTCTCTCTCTCTCTCTGCTTCTCTTTCTCTCTCTTCGCATTCACTCTTATTCTCCCTCTCTCTGTCTCTCTGCTTCTCTCTTTCTCTCTCTGTCTTCATATTCACTCTTATTCTCTCTGTCTCTCTGCTTCTCTCTTTCTCTCTCTGTCTTCATATTCACTCTTATTCTCTCTGTCTCTCTGCTTCTCTCTTTCTCTCTCTGTCTTCATATTCACTCTTATTCTCTCTGTCTCTCTGCTTCTCTCTTTCTCTCTCTTCATATTCACTCTTATTCTCTCTGTCTCTCTGCTTCTCTCTTTCTCTCTCTGTCTTCATATTCACTCTTATTCTCTCTGTCCCTCTGCTTCTCTCTTTCTCTCTCTTCATATTCACTCTTATTCTCTCTGTCTCTCTGCTTCTCTCTTTCTCTCTCTGTCTTCATATTCACTCTTATTCTCTCTGTCTCTCTGCTTCTCTCTTTCTCTCTCTTCATATTCACTCTTATTCTTTCTCTCTGTCCCTCTGCTTCTCTCTCTCTCTGTCTTCATATTCACTCTTATTCTCTCTGTCTCTCTGCTTCTCTCTTTCTCTCTCTGTCTTCATATTCACTCTTATTCTCTCTGTCTCTCTGCTTCGCTCTCTTTTCATATTCACTCTTATTCGCTCCCTCTCTCTTTGCTTTTTTCTCTCTTTTTTTCACATCGCATCCAGGGATCCCTGACGTCCTTTTTCTTTCTCTGGTTCTCCTTTCTCTCCACCTCTCTCTCTCTTTCACAGTGCTCCCTGACCCTATCTCTCTCACTACCTGTCCCCCCCCCCACTCACTCACTCCCTCACTCACTCATCACTCACTCAACCAGGCTTTCCCCTTTATATTCACTCCTCTCTTCCTCCATCGCTCTTGTTTGCAAGGCTCAGCTCAGGGTTGTTGTTTTAATCCCCCCCCCCACCCCTACATGCACACACTACAATGTTTTAATTCCTTCTCTCACTCGTTTTTTTTTTCTCTCTCTCCTCCCCTTTTCTGCCTGTCACACTGATAAGCTAAGTGTTTATTTAGCTTCTCTGTCTGTCCCTCAGCTGCTCGTTTCCAATCCTTTTGAGTTTGCCTCTCGCTCTGTCCACTCTCTTTCACTCTTTTTCCCCTTCTCTCTGGGTGACTGACTGAGAGGAGAGGCACTTCCAGGGATGGGTTGATTTTGCCCATGTTTTCTTCTCCCCCTCCTGCAAAGGTTATTACTGTTGTTGATAACACTAAGGGCAACAACAACTGAGGTTCCTTGAGACGCCTCAATATGCTTCACAATATATTGTAAAGTGGATTGACTGTATTTTGTGGGCGAAATGTTATGTGAAAAAAAGGGTGAAAAATATATGCTGAAGTATCGCTCTGGGCTTTTTCAATCCCATTTGATGTCTTATGCACCTCTGTGAGGTCCCCTCTAAGACGTCTTGTTCTGGACTGCCCACTGACCACGTATATACCAATACTCGCTGTTTACAACACGTGGCTGCAACACATTTCAATTGCAACAAAATTCCGTCTTCATTTCAAATCAATCTCCCTTTGTAAAATGGTTCGAGACGTTTCTTTTACGTGAAAGGCAGGATAGGAATAAAAGTAAGTTGCGGTTGCCAGTTAATCGCACATCGGATAGTGGGAAGAATGTTGGAGCCAATTATCGGAGGTGGGGAGGGAATTGATGAGGGCCTTGAAAAGAATAGCCTGATCAGAGCTGTAAAGGACTAGTCTGATTGAATTTTTTGAGAAGATGACTTAGAATATAGATGTGGGAAATAATAATAATAAATAATAATAATAATCCTTGCATTTGATATAGCGCTTTTCACGTCTTGTAGACATCCCAAAGCGCTTCATAGAATATACTGTAAAGTGAATTGACTGTATATTTGTGGGCGAACGCGGCAGCCAATTGCGCACAGCAATGTCCCACAAACAGTCGTAGATTGAAAATGACCAATTTATTGTTGTTTTTTGTTTTGGAGGGATTATTATTAGGCTCTGTGTGGAGTAAGGAAACTTGCCCAAGGTTTCGCCCTCTGCCTGGAATTGAACTCAGGTCTCTCGCTTGCAAAGCGAGTGCTCTAACCACTGACCTACAGGACTCCATTATTATAATAATCCTTACATTTGATATAGTGCCATATCACATCGTTGAGACGTCTCAAAGCACTTCGCAGGATACACTGTAAAGTGATGCAACTGTGTGTATTTTGTGGGCAAACAGCATTGCAGCATTGTAGCATAAGAGATTTAAATTATCAAGATGTACAATTATAAACAGTCAGTGATTTTGTTATTATAGTGGAGTTACTCTATTAAGAAAAACAACAGCCCTTTTTTTAGATACCATCTCTGTATGTGGTTTTAGATCAGCAGAAGTCTGATATTGGTTATGGTCTGAGCCGTCAGATTATTGTCCCCAAATTTAAGGTGGTGCAAAAGTTTTGGAAAATTATTAAAAACTAAATTAATATGAGAAAAAAAATTGCACTTTTTAAAAATATTGTAGAAAACCTCTTCCAAGTTAACAACAATAACAACAACTGGGATTTATATAGCGCCCTCCAAGCCGGATGGCATCTCAGAGCGCAGAGAGAAACACAGGAGAATGGTTCAAGTATGAGTGACCGTTCATTAGAACTACAGGCACAGATGTTAAGACTGAATTGAGAAATGTTCTGATGTTCTGCACCATCTATCTAGTGCACCTAGAGTCCTGTAGCATAGTGGTTACAGCTCTCACCTCGTAAGCTAGAGGACCCCGGTTTGATTCCCAGGCAGGGAGAAACCTTAGCCAAGTTTTCCTAAGTCTACACTCTTCTGTTTATCTAGCAGTAAGTAATTAGCAACCTGGTTGTTAGTCAATAATCAATGCTAAAAATAATCCCTCCAAATAAAATTTGGTCACTCAATCCACGACTGTTTGAGGGACACTACTGTTCGTAATTGGTTGCCCACAGAATATACAGTCAATTCACTTTGCAGTATAACCTGCGAAGTGCTTTGAGACGTCTCAACGACGTGATAAGGAACATAGGAACAAAGGAACAGGAGTAGGCCATTCAGCCCGTCAAGCCTGTTCCGCCATTTAATTAAATCATGGCTGATCTCTATCTTTACTAGAATTTCAAATCCAATTTCCCACTTTCTCCCCATATCCCTTAATACCCCAACCTACCAAAGCTGCTATATCAAGGTGATAAGGTGCTATGTCAAATGCAAGGATTATTATTATTATCTAATGTTTTGAGACGTTGTTCTTCTATAGTACACTCTACTTGTAGACACAAGTTAAGCAAGAACAGAAGCTGTTGCAAATACGCAACTGGTCAGTTAGCATCTGAAAGAGAAACACAGGAGAATAGTTCAAGTGTGAGTGACCGTTCATTAGAACTACAGGCACAGATGTAACTGCTGAGCATTTTCAGCACTTTATGCTTTTTACTTCAGTTTTTTAAATATTTCTTTCATATATGTGCTCCAAGATGTTATCCTCCAGTGCAGGGCACCTTATAAATGCAAGTTGTTTTGTATGCATAATATACATAGAAGCTTAATTTTTCTAATAATCAACCTGTATGTTTCATAAATGCCTTAATAAACAAAAAACGTTTGATCCTAATACATTTGGACTGATTTATAACAGGCGCTGGAGGTAAGCAGATTTACTCAATAAAATTCAAAAGAACTTCAAGTTTAAAGTCAAAGTTTGATTTAATTCTAGAAACGTAGTTATGGCAACATGTTTTGATTTATTGTAGCTTTAATTTAGGCTTATAATTTTTTCAGGTGAAACAATATTTAACCTTTAGTCTTTCTGGTTCAGTACCACAGCCTGTGATACATTTACCCATTGAAGTCACTGCGAGGTCCGTGGTGTTGATTTCAAAGGGATGGAATGGATTTTATTTTAAAGAATGATTTTGACTCAAACCATCAAAACCATCACAGTTTGGACTCCTTGACCAGAACTGTGCTTATTCTCTATTTACTTTAGCAACAGCTTGGCTCACTTGGCGTGTTTGAGTCAGAAGGTTGTGAGTTCAAGCCCCGTTTAAGATTTGGAACTTATATACTCTAAGCTAACACTCCAATGCAGTGTTGGGGGTGTTCACCCACAAAACACACTATCACGGCACTGTACAATAAAATTCCAGTGCCTCCTCCTGTGGCCTATTGGTTAAGCGAGAGGACCCAGGTTCGATTCCCAGGCAAGGTGAAACCTTAGGCAAGTTTCCATACTCCACACGCCACTGTTTACCTCGATAAGCACAGTCCTGTTTGTACAGTAAGTACAGTT